GTGTGAAATGCATGGAGACTCTGTTGGTGCATGAATGTGCATGGTGCATCATGGCACTGCATTGGATCCTTGCGAGATCATAAGAAGTGCATACTTCTTTTCTTCACCCCTTATGGCTTCTGGCATCGAGCTAACGCGCGACTGGGCGGCGCTCTTCGGCACGCCTCAGATCGGCCTCCGCCGACTCCGACTGCTTTGCCTGCTTTAGCCGGATGAGCACCAAAACCCCATGATCTTTTGATCATCCATGATCCTTTGTCTTTCCTGCATTCTCGTGCCAAAGCTGCGCCAGTGATGAGGGGTCTGCCTTCGCAGCATTTTCGCAAGACGTTCAACAAGCGGTTCGTGAGGCCACTTTGCCGAAATAACTTTTGAGGGTGCTCTTTGAGCATATGGGGACTCGGCGCAGACACGTCAAGTGCGGCACTGGCGCGTTGATTGGACGAGACCAAAACGGAAGGGTGCAGGTCCAGACGGACCCAGCTCAAATCAGGTCATCGAGGTCCTTGCATCCTCAATTGGGAGCGGGTATGAAGGGGTGTGGTCACTCTTGGGAATGTGTCTCGGGTCTGGGGGGCGGGGGAGGTGGAACGGCGCTGCGGTTGTTTCGCTGGTTCTGAGGTTTTGGCTTCTCGCCTGGAAAGGGAGCCGTCTCCAGCTTGAAGCTTTGCGCCTTGGACGCAAGAAGGAACTGTTGTGACTGCTTGTGCTTCTTCACGACGTCCCGTTCGTAGTGCTGGCTGTTCTTTGCTCGTCGAAGTCTGTCGTCAGCACGTCCAGCATTTCCCAGGCGATCGACGCTGGCACGTTGTCGGCTGCTGCAGACTGAGTGGTTTTCTGTTCTCAGTTCTGGGAAGCTCTCCAGGTTCTGGTCCCGCATGCGCAAGTTAGACCGGGAGTCGCCTTTGTAGTCTTGCGGCAAGCCGATTCCTCAACTCCCTGTGTGGTTTAGGTTGGAGTTCCTTCCTGGCCTGCTTGGGGCTCACGGACTTCATGTTCTGAACGTTCTGCGAGGCGCAATTTCAAGCTGTATACTTCCAGTCGATGAGAGGGGCAAGACCTCATATGTGCACTCGTGGATCATATATGTGCACCTCTGACTTTGGGGAGAGCTGGCGGCGGCGCTGGGATTTTGAGAGCCTCTCCCCGGCACCCTAATGGGATTCAGCCTATACTAAATGCATCTAAAGCCTAAGCCCATATATGTGCCTAAATAAAACCAAAAGCCTTATCTTTCAGCAGATACACAGTCACGAAAGCTAGCTCCTTGGAGCTCGCGAGAGTTGTCGTTTACAAGTCTTCTCTCTAGTGTTCAGCTGGGTCATAAGCGACCCCGACCCTTATGTGGTATGAAAATCAAAAAGATAAACGGCTGTGGGGGGGGGGGGGGGGGCCCTGCCACCCCTTATAGGATTGACAGAATCAATCTTAAGGTGTCCCCGCCCCCCCCCCCCCCCCACCCTTTTGGCCGCCCCCCCCCCCACCCCCCCCCCCCCCCCCCCCCCCCCCCTTTCAGCCCCCCCCCCTTCTTGCTCAGGTGGGTCAGCCGCGTTTCTAGCTTTCGTGGCCCAGATCTCAAGTTCTTTCTTTCTTTGTCTCTCGCTCTTTCTTTCTGGCTCTTTCTTTCTTGCTTTCTTTCTGTCTCTCAGACCCTGAACGTATTGGGAGTACGTGGTTATGGTTTAGTTTAGACTCAAGTTTAGACCCCGAGGTTTGCAGAACCAGCGTGACGAAGAAACTCTTTCACCCCCCCTGACATGTGGCACAGGACACAATAGGCGCTATTCCCAAATACCCCCCCCCATTACAAAAAGGGGGACTTGCGTTTCGTAAGAATACCTTAAAATCAGTCTTGGGCACGGGGCCTTCCTGCCGCCCCCTCCCTAGTTATCATCGTGTAGGCATGGATGCTCTGGCTATTCGCACTGGTAACATGGACCTTGTCATCGTGCAAGGCATGGATGCTACCCCTACCAAACCTGGCCTGGAGCACGAACAAAGGCTGAAAAGTGCAGCGTTACGTGTGGTCGGAAGGCTATCCCGGCATGCATAAACCCTATTCCTTATAACTTATAACCGTAAACCTCAAACCGTAAACCTCAACACCGCCCGTCACCGACCCTGAATCTTATACAACCTGTAACCCTCAAAGCCCAAAACCCTAAAACCCTGAACCTAAAGCCCTGAAGAGAAAACCGCGAACCATGTGCACATATGATCGCCTTGCCCGATGAGAGCGGGCAGGTGGAACTGAAGGCGTTCCACTGCCATCCCGAGCGAATATGTTCATTGCGCACCTGGGCAGCCGAAAGAATCAAGTTGTCATGGCTTGGATGCCAATTGAGCTTGACCGACGTGGCTTGGCCACCCAGGTTTCAAAACATATTCAGGCGTGGGTGGCGGATACTGGCCGCAGAATCCTGCCAGCAACCACCAAATCACGAGCAGGACATCACAGCAAATGATCGTGATTTACAGAAGGAGATGTACTCGTAAGCCAGTTTCATCTGAGGGCACCGTGGCCACGCTCCTATTGGTGGCAGCAGCTTCTTGACTCAAAGTTTTATTATAGTGCAAGGACTGAGTGGTGTGCTTACACCCCATAGCATGCTGGACGGCAAGGTCATTCTCTTTTATCGGCTGATTAACATCACCAACAGCTGTGACCCCAGAGTAGCGGCAATCGCATTTCCTGGGCCATGACAAGTGCGCGAGCCAAGGGGCTCTCACCGTGCTGATCTGGATCTTTGCAGCCGTTGACACGGCAGACACCTTAGCAGCTGATGTGGGAGATATTTTGCTGGCCAGGACAGCGCTTGGTTCGGGGGTCACAAGATGGGACTTGCAAGCATTCAAAATTCCAAGACGTTTGCAGACTCAAGCATCTGATATCCATGGAGAGGAAACTCGCTTTCTGGGCAGTCGCCATGCTGTGGTCCGCGCTGGTGCAGCTCCCCTTCCTCGGAGCAGTGCTGAGGTGACGCAGGGATACGAGAGAAAGAGAATACTTGAAGAGTTCCGTTTGAAGAGGAGTGATGGAGAATTGACAAGGGAGCATGGTGCATACAATATTGAGAAATACATATTTAGACAGGTTGCTCACGCCGGTCGTTTTTGCGCTGCTCATGGTGGCCAGTGAGACCATTTTGCGGCGAGCCTCTTGGCACTGCATGGTAGTTGTGCCACTACACTGCCCCGGCCCAGTGTAGACCCCAGACTCGCGCTGCGCGTTGAATTGGAGAGCATGTGAAAGAGATTCAAAGAGCACCTAAGGTAGTGCAGCCCTTGCTTGAGTTCCTCACTGCCCGAGTCCGTCGGCTCCTGCTTCAAGCTTACTTGCAGTGACTTAGAGCTTTGTTTTGTGTTGTTTTTTGTATGCGTGAACCCTGCAAAATTCTGCAAACACGTGCCTAGGTCTTACCTGGGCTGGACGACATCAAGGACAACTGCTGGTGTATGCAAGATGCCGTTCTGGTTGCTCAGGTATCGGGCCGAGGATTGAGTGTCTAGAGAGGATCGCTTTGTGCTTTCTTTGCCGCAGGTTACCTTAGCGCATCTTAGCCCGCGATGTCTTAGGGCCAAGCCGGCTATGTTTTCTTAAGAAGGATCGTTTATCCAGAGGAACATTTTGACATTTCCATCACGCAACACTAACTGACTAACTTAGAAGAACCCATCATCTTGAGCATCTTGCTCTCCAAATTTGCCCTCTTCGCAGCTACATGTTCGAATACAGACTGTTGCGACTGATGATGACCGTCACTTTTTGCAGGCAAGTCCTATGTCCTACTTGTATTGCATGTCGCGTGGTTGCATGTGACATGGTGCCGTCGACAATATATCCTACATCTTGTGCTCGCCCTCAATCAAGGGTCCGCGTGACTCTGTTGCAGGTGCTTGTTTTCGACGGCTTCCAGGCAGGCGAACCTGTTTTCTGCACGACCCTTGCCCGAATGTATCACGAGTGCCCCGTCTTCGCAGGCGCGCGGAAAGTAACCCCGCGCCACAAGATGCAGATGCAGATGTGCAGCATCTGCAGCTGCCTGATCTCCAGCCTGTAGGGCCTGGGACGCAGACGGAACCGACGCAGGTCTCCAACATTGGTCTGGATTCCAGAAGAACGAGCATGACAAGCTGTTCATCCCAAGCATCCAGGGCGGCGCCAGGAGCAGGTCACTTGGGCCAACGGCAAAGCCAAGCAGAAACCGAGCAGTCCAGCGAAGTGGAGGTGCCACCGCCACACAGCACGGCGAACACCCCTGCTGCCAGCCCAAGTGCTGTAACATCTGTCGCGTCGGCCTCACCTGCTGGCAATCCCACTCCAGTTCCGGGCACATCGCCGGCCACTGGTGTGCGGCATCGTGCCAAGAAGGGTCGCCGGAAATAGTGCCAGCTCTTCTCGATCGTAACTTTACGCGAAGCTTATTGCAGCAAGGACCTTGCGATGTATCCTCTGGCTTCTGCACGCCACCTGGAGCACGCACATGCAAATGGACCTGACGACGCGGCTGCGGACATAGTGCACATCTGACGGTCGAAAGTGAGGAGACCAAGATGGAGGCGTCCATGCCACCGTGAACTCGGCGCATCTTGGCAGGGAAACGGCAGGCAAACATGAGGATCACACTACACACAAGATCATACACACGATCATGAGCGCCACTCAACGCCCAATGGTTCCAAGCAGTGGCGCAGCCTGTTGTAGCTTATGCGGAGAGCTTGCTCGAGACCTGCAAAAGCGTTCGACATGCCGGATAGTTGCAGGATGCGTCTGTTTCGATCATTGCTGGCCCTTCCTGGCCTTTCCTGCATGGAAGTTTGGGCTCCCAGGTTAGTTTATGAGGCCTTGCTTGATCATTGCAGTGACTTGCAGTGACTTGCAGTGTGTATGACGGACGGTCTGCCAATATCACTTCGTAACACGTCATCTGTTGAGGTTTGGTGGCACTGAATTCAAGGCCACTGCCAGAAAAGCAGACGCCCCTGAGCAAATCTGAGCAATGGGACCAACCTGGGTGAGTGCTGATGGCGGGAAGGCCCGAAGCTGACTGCAAGTGCCTGCTTAAACCGAACATGAACATGGCAACTTGTCTGTTCCCCAACCTGCCATTGTCTTAGTTGTAAGAAAATGTAACGCATGTTGTTTTGGTAATTTTCAACTTGGCGTCACTGGGAAATCATGTGTCGTGCCGTCCGGCAGGTCTTTCAGACACTTGGACAGTGCTGCGCCGAAAGAAGCAGGCGTGAGTTGGTCGCAAAGGCTGGTGAGATAGGAGAGACCGAAGATGCTGAGGAGGCATGGAAACAGGCTTCAGTCACATTGTGGTCACTGGCACTCAGTGCATACGACACCAACTTTGACCCCAAAGAGGGCACAGTCCTACCTGTGATGACCTTGGCGGTTGATTTGCGATTACAGAAAATCGCTGGTGCAACCAGTACTTGGACAAGCGGAGGGGAGGAGGCTGCCAAAGCATCCTTGGACAAGGCACGCGAGGCAAAGGACTCTGCCAAGGAAGCCCAGGCACTTCTGAATCTAGCGTCCGTGCAGGCCTCTGCATGGGCCTCAGCAAAGTCCACAACAGCTTTGCGGCCGATTGGCGATGTGCTGCAGAGTGCCCTCGCATTGTTCGAGAAGGACAAGGACCACAACGGCGAAGCTGTTGCCTGCAACATGCTCGCCAACTTTTATGTTCTGGTCGGGCAGGCCAAAGATGCTGTTAGGGCTGTGAAACAGGGGCTCGCTGCCTGCTCTTCGCGTGGCGGCAGCAGGCTCCATGAAGTTCCCCTTCTCCACACCCTGATGGCTGCCAGCTTCTTGAGAAACGACCCGGATGAGGCACTCAGGGCCAGCCAAGAGGTGGCCCAAATCTGCCGAGAGGCCAAAGAGGCCAAAACTTCAGCAGTTTTGTCATTGGCCGATGCGTGCACAGCCCAGGCACATCTTGCCAACGATGAACAGGGTCAGGCTCAGCGCCTGGTTGAGGCAGCTTTGAAGGCTTCAAGGGATGCCAAGGATGCGGATGGCGAAATTCTTGCTCTCGGCACCTTGCAGGAGATCGCTTTTGCCATTGGAAAGCCCGTCTCCGCACTGAAGGCTGCACAAGACCTTCTTGAGAAGGAGCGTCGGCGTGGAATTAAGGAAGCTATTGCCAGGGCTCAGCTCCTGGTGTCCGCGTCAGACACAACTGCAGCCTCCTCCAGTGATCTGGCTCAACAAGCCAAAGAGCAATATGCTTCGCTCAAGGACAAGGTGGGTGAAAGCCTGGCATCCGTGTCATTGGCACGAGCTTTCCTCACACTTGCGAAGATCACAGAGGCGACCAAGACTGCAAAGGAGGCAATGGCTTCCTTCCAGGCCATCCAGTCAGAAGTTGGTCAAGGCTTTGCCAGCTGCCTCCTGGCCCTGCTGCAAGTCCGCCAGGAGGACTCCGAGCTGCGTTGACTCAGCCTTTTTGACTCTACGCGGCTCATGGATCTGCAGTTTGGATCTTAGGTACTGAAACATCCTTCTAGACATCCCCTCATTGATTCACACAGATTGCACCATGCCCTTCCTCGGCATCTGGTGCTGGCTCTTCTCGCAGGATCCCGTGGCCGCGGAGCGCCTGGCTCGAGAGGCTCTGGGTCTGTTCCAGGCCGGAGTGAAGTTGGAGTGTGGGACTTCAAGCGGGATGAAGTTTGAATTGCCAGAATGAGTTCTGACAAGCAGCATAAGAGCAGCCTGTCGGTCTCATAGGCTCGCTCTCGGGGAGCAAAGTTAAAGCTGGATCAAGATCATGTCCACCTTCATCTCAACCCATCCCATCGCCCTTGTCAGTCTTGAGGAAGGCCGCCACCGAGTCGGACAAGTCTTAGCAGAGTTGCTCGTCAGGATCCGCACCGCCAGTTTGCGTTCACTTGTTGCAGTGGGACATTTAGCTGCTTGAGCTGGTTCAGCCATCGCTGTGCTGTTGCTGTACTCCGACTCAGCAATAAACAACGGCAGATATTGGCAGCATGGGAGTAGGTCGGAGTATCCGGTGGTTTTGCCCAAGAAGCATAGAAATTGGAAGCCATGCAATGTAGAGGCTTTGCCCAAACACATTGGCTTAGCCGTGTGCATATTTTGAGAAGTGCCAAAAGCAACACAGAGGGCGTAAGAAAGTCCTCTCTGCTTAGAATGCAGCAGTCGGGAGTACCAACACAGACACAAACAGAGAGCCGCACAAAGAGAGACGCTGAGAGACTCAGAGGGAGACTCAGAGGGAGACGCAGAGGGAGACGCAGAGGGAGACGCAGAGGGAGACGCAGGGAAGCTCGCAGGGAGGCGCAGCAGTACACAAAAACTAGCACACAGAAAAGACATCGGCCCGATCTGAATTATCTCTCCTTGTCCCGTGAGTGGCTCTCGAAACCTACTCGTAGAGTGTTCTCGGCCAGACATACACCGTGATCAATATGCAGTAATATCGACGATCCGAATCTTCATGCACGCAGTCACAGCACGTGGTAGGTCAGTGACTTTACCTGACACTTCGGGGTCACAGTGCCAGGATGACGACGATGCTCATGTTGCGGGGTTGTCGCGCCGAAGAGCCATCAACCGAGCCTCCGATTCGTCCTTTTTGATGATGTCCTCCCACGAAGACAAGGCTAAAATAAACATTGTGCCCAAAGCCGGGCAACGGAAAGTTATTGCGAAACGAAGACGTGCCAGTTCGTCAAGCATGAATGCAATGTTTGTCTGACACCGGCAGAGAACGAAAAAAGGGAGAACAAACGCATCATTTGGTCCGCTGAACAATCCTCAGCGCCGCCTCTGCGGCGTGTGCTCGGGCGACGTTCCCGGAGTAATGCCAGGCTGTGCCACATGCACATATCTACACCTGGCTTTTCATGATTCAGCTGAACGCCAGCCTTGCACTCATGGTCCCAAGAACAAGGCGTGTTTGCCGGCAGAGAGCACAGCGGTGAGAATTTGCGGAGGAAGTCACAACAGCTCCGAGAGAAGCCCGCGGAGTGCAAATTAGCCTCTTCGTGGCACCAGTGTGTTGTGTGTGTTCAGGGAATGTGCAGAGTAGAGTGTGCTCGGCGAAAGCCAGTCTGGGATCTTTACGAACACAACCTGCATAAGAAGAAATGCTGCCAGCGATGCGCAAAACACAGAGACTGCATGCTGGTTCTTGTTCGCTGCTGCGCATGCCAAGGTCATTGATGACTTTTCGGTAGCTCACGTGGAAATCAGCGGTGTGTGCAGCCTGGCTGCAGTGCTGCTGCCAGAATGCAGCTACTGCTGGTGCTTTTCCGCCCACGGCCGGCTCAAGCATCCCTCTCAAGAAGCTCAAATGTCTGCAGGCTCAGCAGACATTCCCAGACACTGCCCAGCCAAGATTCGGAAAGGTCCCCAATTCTTTAGGTGCGATTGCGCTGAAGGCGCTGACTTTAAACACGGGGTCCGATCGGGTGGCACAGGCCAAGGATGGGCTTATTGGTGCATCTACTCCATAGAATGGCTTTGCGTCCTGGAGGTTTCTGCTACATAGAATTTGGCCGTTCTGCTAGACATATTCTGACGTTTTATGACAAATGATTTCTGTCAGACGCATAAAGGCTCATAGAGTCAAAGGCAAGTCTCTTAACTGGCTACTATGCAGTTGTCTTTGGTGTGGTATTGGGTCCCACAATACTGCGACGCAGCGGCTGTTTTCCTTGATGTCTTTCGAAATAACATGAAAACATGTTAGTCAAAAGACAGTCTCAATGATCCGAGGAGACAGCATGCTATGTGTCTGTTTAACTCGTGTCGTGCGCTCCTTCTTCTGCTTGTTCCCGGTCTGGCTCTGGGGGTATGATGGGTGGGGCAGGCAGGTATGTCCATCCAATCGTGCTACAGCTGATCCACGTTCCTGTTCTTGTTTGCGCTTGGCGCCCGAGGCACGCCGAAGTCTTTGGAAGAGGCCGAGGGGTAGAAGCATGGTATTTGTTTTACCACAGCGGGCGTCGAAGACTGTTGTATCAGGTTCTCAATGCACTTCATCAGGCTCGGTGCAAGGATGGAGTTAAGGCAGGATACCTCTTCTCGATATTTGCGATGCAGCGCAATCAGGGTGCAGTTCCATGTGTGAGGAATGCGTTTCCGCTCAGATGCAGTCGCTAAGAATGCTGGTGCCAGCACACAGTCCCTCACACCTGGGAACACACCATACAGTAGCAATGCAATATGGTTCTCTCGCTGGACGGCTGCCAGAGCTCAAGTTGCGATTGTTTTACTTGCAGTGTGCTTCGTCGGCCGAACCAGAAACCTGGATAAAAAGAACCTGAGGAAACGTTGAGTGGGAGGATCTCCAAACTCACCCCTGTCTCAGTTTTGACGTTGGCTACCCCAAGTCTTCGTTGTGCTGCCGCAGTACAAGTTCAAACGTGGCAAGCAGTTTACTCGGAAAGGAACTGCAACAGTCAAAATTGCTGCGAAAATGGGAAGTTCCCAGCCCGCGAAGCTCAACAGCAATGTGCTGTCGACATTTCAACAATGTGACATGTGTTGCTGCGCTTTCTCATGCTCTCTTTCTTCTTCTCAGCGGGCACGGGGGTCGGGGCTGAACCCTGTCTGTCACCCAGCGCGTCCTGCGCACCCCCGTCGCTCTCTCTGGGGCGCCCGGATCAGGGCCTCCGACAACACACGGGAATTGGAACAACAGAGAACACACAAATTTGGCCGACCTTGAGGGCGTTGATTGATTGATGGATTTGCGGGGCGGAATCCGAGACAAACTAGGCCAGGCCATGCTGTCTCGGAAAGTTTGTCTGCAGGCTGTGGTATTACTTCTTCAAGGGGCCAAGGCCCGACTCTTTCATGACGATTGACTTCACTGACTGTGTGGACTCTTAATCAAAAGCGGTCCCAGTGTGATGCATCGGCCAGGGTCCAGTGAATCCTGCAGGGCCAGGCTTTGGAGGATGGGCATCGCCACAGAAGCAGGCGTCGCCAGATATGTCGTGGCATTGAACTTAATGACCATGCTTGTTGATGATCCGTGTGGGGAAGCATCGCCACGCTTATTTACAGCATCCTACGAACACAGGTGCGGCAACCAAGGACTATGAAGTTCTTGTCCAAGATTCTGTCGCCTCACAGTTTCCTCACATCAACACCGGCTTTCATTTTGCGTTGAACACGAGCAAAGAGTATTTGCAGAGGAATCTGAAAGATCCAGTTTTGTTGCAAGTTCATGTCGAAGCACGGCAAAAGACACAACTCGGTTCTTCTGGCCTCGGAGTTGCTTTGTTGCACACAATCCATGTGATCACAATATTCGGAGGTCGGTCGCCTTAAGCTTGTTCTCTCAAAGCTTTCTGAGAGTCCACTGGAGCCCTTTGCAGGCTGTTGCAAGCGGTACGTTTCTTCTTGGCTTGCGAACGCTAGGGTTGCCATGCGTGCAGACCTCGGAGGTGCGAAGCAGGAGCATGATGTGCCTCGGGCCCTTGTCACTTCCATGAAGCCTTTTGAGGTGGCCGCCTGCTGCGGGAAGGTTGCCGGGCCTGCTTGGGGTTTGGTGCTGGCAGCGGACCGCCAGAGAGCCAGAGAGAGAGAAGAATATACGATAATGTAACACAAAGAGTTTTGTGTCTGACACGCATCTCACAGAGGGCTCTGCGCGCCTGTAGATGCGAGGACTACCGTCTTGTCGGAGCCAAAGAAAAGATGGAGACAGTCAAGACAGCCGCGAAATCCGTAAGTCTCAAGTGTCAAATGTCTGAGGCTTCGGCAACTTCCAGCTTCATCTTGCCCATCTGGGGACCTCCCGAGTGCTTCGGGGACTTGGTTGGGCACACGGCTGCACCCTGAGCTTCAGATGCTTTCGATTGGTTCCAGATTCTGTGGATTGTCTAGTGTGCTTCCAGGTCGCTATGCAACTCTGCTATAATCAGGGTCCTGTTGCTTGGCCGCACCAAAAATGGCTACAGGCTTGACCGGTGGGCTTGGCCGTTGTTTGGCCTGCCCATAGCATGTTGATTGCAGTGGAAGTTCCTGCTTGTTGGACACAGGTGAATGCGCTGACCATGCTTGAATATGGTGTAATTCACCAGTGCCAAAGAGGACTTGAATGAGTTCTGGGTTGGGCACCTGCATTTGCGCATATGTCACTGTGTCTGTGTGTGTGTGTGTGTGTGTGTGTGTAGTGTGTGTGTGTGTGTGTGTGTGTGTGTGTGTGTGTGTGTGTGTGTGTGTGTGTGTGTGTGTGTGTGTGTCTGTGTGTGTGTGTGTGTGTCTGTGTCTGTGTCTGTGTCTGTGTCTGTGTCTGTGTCTGTGTCTGTGTCTGTGTCTGTGTGTCTGTGTCTGTGTCTGTGTCTGTGTCTGTGTCTGTGTCTGTGTCTGTGTCTGTGTCTGTGTCTGTGTCTGTGTCTGTGTCTGTGTCTGTCTCTGTCTCTGTCTCTGTCTCTGTCTCTGTCTCTGTTTCTGTCTCTGTCCCTGTCCCTGTCTCTGTCTCTGTCTCTGTCTCAGTCTCTGTCTCTGTCTGTGTGTGTGTGTGTGCGCGCACGCACCCTGATTTTAAGTTAGGGTTTATCATGAAATCCAGAGCAAACCACCAAAGCTCGGTTGCCAGCGTTATGGGAGGTAGCGCAACCAAAGGCGCCAAGTCCTACGAGTATGTCACGGCATCCGAACGAAGGCATCCGAACACAGCGCAACTCAACCGAACTGTTGGCTGCCCCGACAGCGCGTCCAGCCAACCCCTGCGCAAAGGGGGGAGGGAGGGGGAGCACCATTGTCAGTATTTTCCGGTCCTTGCTTGTGGTGGGGTGGGCCGGGGTGAAGCTGTGGGCGGGTACTGTTGGCAGCTGAAATCAAGCCAGGTACACAACAAAGCCCTCTCCCTCCCCATAACCCGCGCCGTATTCTTGACGTACCACACAAAGGTCACAAACGGCCAACTTGTCGCGGACACAAGTAGAAAGCACACGACTGGAGTCTTGGACCATTGTTTGCTTTGACAGCCTTCGGAGGGCTTGCATTCATCGCCCGAAAAAATGTACCTGTTTTCGGGCAAAGGTCCAGAGGAGCTGAACAGAAATTGTGGACTTCAGTCGAACACTTTGAACTGCTGAGCAGAGGAGATGAAGACACAAAGAAAGCTGCGGCTGAGGTGGCGAGGAGCACAATCCTTGTCCCCTTGCTTGCATGTCGTTGTTTCAGCAACGCGACATATGCTGGAAGGAGAATAGCTTCAACACCCGCTTTGGCTTCTGGGCGGCACGTTCCAATGTGTTTAGAAACATTCACTCAGGAAGCATCTGTGAAGTGCCCATGAAGAGACCCCGTGAGACTTGTTGAATTCAATTAAGCTCACTTGGACGCCTCTGGTACTTATTTGGTATTTATGGATCATGCCTTGAGGCTTGCCATCAAGCCACGGCAATGCTGAGTCCGGCGATTGAAAAATATGCTTCCATTGTGGCTCGTGGAGGTGCCACATGTTGAGCAGTGGTCAGACTGCCAAACTTAGGATGCGTTTCATCTTGAGTTGGTGTGGCCTGACTCCGCTTGCACCTGCAGGATTGCGAGCCTAACATTGCGGTGAAAACCTCGGCGGCTCGGCAAACTGCTTCCTTCACACTTGTGGCAGGTGCAACATGGTGCAACCAGCTCTGTTAGCCAAAGAAAACGTGATAGGGGCCACAAGCCCGAACGCGTACATGTATTACGTACACGGCAACCAAACGCGGTGCACGATGCGTGATGCGAACTGAAGTGTGCTATCCGTCCTTCTCTCCCCCTTTGTCTGTCGCTCTTACACATTCCCTTGTCATTCCCACCATTACCCACACTTCCCACCACTAACCACTGCTACCCACCGCTACCCCCCACTCCGGGGAATGCTGGGTAATGGTGGCTGATGGTGGAAAGAAAGGGGAATGGAGGATCACGTTGGCAGTAATAATCAAGTGATACTGTTTACATGCGAAAACGCTTCTCAGAGGCTTCCAAAAACTCTGTGGTTAGTACAAATCTAGTACGCGAAAACACCGTTCGTACGCCCCATAAGGAGCTCTGGGCTTGAAAATTCGTTCTTTGTTGGACACATTTAGTACGCGAAGCAAATCTCTCGGACGCCCCCCCGGAGCTCTGAACCTGGACACCGTTCTCCGAAAAGGCCTCTCGGAGGTCCTGGAGCTCTGGGCCTGGATAGCTCTCGGAGCAATTGTTTTGCTTGGTGGCGCGTCTTCGCTCACTAATTATATGCAATTCTTTTGCTTAGTGGCGCGTCTTCGCTTGCTATGCGCGGTTGTGTTGCTTATTGGTGTTTGCAACGCCAAGTTTTTTCTCGTTTGTGCACGACACCCACGCTCAAAACCAAAACATGGCGTAACAAATTGGGGCCCCGGTTTTTGTTACGCCGAGTTTTATGTTCGTCCTTTCACCGCCCAAGACCAGAAACGTGGCATTGCAAGCTGGGGCCCAGTTTTGAAACAAGCTAAAAAGATAACGACAGTCATGAGGATGGGGCACCCCAGGTGCCTCGTCCTCGTGACCCAACTCTTAAAACGGGAATCCTAGTGCTGCGCATGGCGGGACAGCCAGAACCTCACACCAAGGACGGCACAGCGGGCCATGCCGTTTGGCAGAGCAGCCCCTTCAGCGTTCTGGCCGAGGCCACCTTGAGTGCTTGCATGTCTTCCAGAAAGTCCATCGTTCCATGATGCAGTGCTAGCCAAAGTGGCGGGGGAAAGTAGTGAGACTGTATATTGGAAAACTCTTACAAATCTCGATCGCGGAAGGTGCAATGAGAGCTGCGGGTGATCCGTTGTCTTCCGAACCGTGCTTGATTCAACATTCGCCTATGGTCGGAACGCCAATTTAGTTTCTACAAACATGGCCTTAGTACGTCTTCATGTATATCTTCGCCATGCATTCCTACAAGATGCCTCAGTGAATCGAGCGCTTGATGCTTGCGGGCAAAACTTGCAGATCCATTTCGCTTCAGGATCATGGCATCATGGAACATCTCATTGGTAACATGCAGAGCAACGGTATGCACGGTTACAATGCGGAAGCCTCTCTGCGCAAGGCTCTCCGCTTGCAGCCGAATAATTCCAGACGGCATGCCGACTGGGGCTTTCATATTAAACTCCCAGCCTGCAGATGGAATATCAAAGTCCCGGCCCAAACTTTAGTTACTAAAGTTTAGTATTAAAGCTCGTTAGCATCAACGGCGGGGGCGGGGGGGGGGCGGGCGCCAAAAGGGTCCATATTCTACCTTCTTATGGGGGGGGGTGCAGGCAGTTGGGGTGGGGGGGGCTGCATGCATTTCCCTGCATTCCGCAGTACTTTTGCGAGCGCTGCATCTTGTGCATGATCACCGCCCATGCTCAAAAATTCCCTGTAGAAGTGAGAATTGACTCAACGGTATTTGCTCCCCCTCCAGCGGCTGACCTGAAAATTTCAGCATGCCCACGTTTTAAGTTTCGAAAGGCATCATCCCGCATCTGGAGACAGCACCGAGGTTCCGGCTGGCAAAGAGATCTTTCGGACTTTCTGCGCGTTCGCTGACCCTTGCATTCTTCCAAGCCCTCGGCCCGAGTCACTAACCCATTGATGTGGAAGGTGGCGGTCAGGCAGCCGCATGTCTTATTGCTGGCTGTTGCTCGAATGAGCGTGTGCGGTAGTGCAGAGCTGTACGGCCCCAGACCACAAATACCCCCCAGCCGACGACCGTCCTGGGCACGCAATTGTGTTGTTTTTTTTTTTTGCCCGACAGCAGCATCTCAAATGACTTTGCCCGCAAAACAGTGAGGAAGGAATGGCGGCGTCTGTTTCTGAAGGAGCGGACAAGCAAATCGTGCTTGATCTTTGGAAATCGCAGCCCGGACGTTGGAGCCAACAGCATTGCGCAGAAGAGTCATTGTCATGTCATGCGCATGGGCTCAATGGCTCAAAGCGGCATGGGAATCATGGGACGCGCAGCGAAGCGGCGCCGCAAGTCGAGCGGCAATGCTCGGGGCCCCATAGCTTTTCGTGCAGATTGTGTTTGCTTGCGACCATTCTACTACCCCTTTATCAGGAAAGCAATCCTTGCAAACTTCGTCTGGCGCAGGACAAAGGCAAGCCTCGATTTTTTTTGCAAAATGCAAGCATGTGGCAAAGCTTGTCCCCCTGCTCAGGCCATCAGCCTTTCACCGCGGAAGAAATTGCAAGCGCAAGCCTCAAGCCGAACCGTCAGGATGCCTCTTCTCAGGGCATTCATGATTGGTGTCGCTGGTGTTGCACTTGTGGCAGTGTGCACTTTTGTTAGGGCCCAGGATGCAATAGCGTTGATGGCCTCAGCATCTTAGACCATTTATTTCCACCTGGCATGTCCAGTCACGCACATTTTTCATTCATCCAACCCAAGCACCGCCCCGCAGCACCAGCCCCGTTGCTTTCCAGCATGCTGCCGAGCCTATCTTGAGCGAGGAGGTCAATGTGGCGAGTTGGATCAGAGCTTGCTATGATGAGCAGAATAGACGTACGACGGATCAGGCCTGCAAGGCAGTATCACGTTTTCAGGAGGAGGGGGTCCGGGGGGGTCGAGGGTACGGAGGGTGAAGTGGGCTGGGGGGTCAAGAAGGTTGTACCGCCCCGCAGCACCAGCCCCGTTGCTTTCCAGCATGCTGCCGAGCCTATCTTGAGCGAGGAGGTCAATGTGGCGAGTTGGATCAGAGCTTGCTATGATGAGCAGAATAGACGTACGACGGATCAGGCCTGCAAGGCAGTATCACGTTTTCAGGAGGAGGGGGTCCGGGGGGGTCGAGGGTACGGAGGGTGAAGTGGGCTGGGGGGTCAAGAAGGTTGTACCGCCCCGCAGCACCAGCCCCGTTGCTTTCCAGCATGCTGCCGAGCCTATCTTGAGCGAGGAGGTCAATGTGGCGAGTTGGATCAGAGCTTGCTATGATGAGCAGAATAGACGTACGACGGATCAGGCCTGCAAGGCAGTATCACGTTTTCAGGAGGAGGGGGTCCGGGGGGGTCGAGGGTACGGAGGGTGAAGTGGGCTGGGGGGTCAAGAAGGTTGTACCGCCCCGCAGCACCAGCCCCGTTGCTTTCCAGCATGCTGCCGAGCCTATCTTGAGCGAGGAGGTCAATGTGGCGAGTTGGATCAGAGCTTGCTATGATGAGCAGAATAGACGTACGACGGATCAGGCCTGCAAGGCAGTATCACGTTTTCAGGAGGAGGGGGTCCGGGGGGGTCGAGGGTACGGAGGGTGAAGTGGGCTGGGGGGTCAAGAAGGTTGTACCGCCCCGCAGCACCAGCCCCGTTGCTTTCCAGCATGCTGCCGAGCCTATCTTGAGCGAGGAGGTCAATGTGGCGAGTTGGATCAGAGCTTGCTATGATGAGCAGAATAGACTACGACGGATCAGGCCTGCAAGGCAGTATCACGTTTTCAGGAGGAGGGGGTCCGGGGGGGTCGAGGGTACGGAGGGTGAAGTGGGCTGGGGTCAAGAAGGTTGTACCGCCCCGCAGCACCAGCCCCGTTGCTTTCCAGCATGCTGCCGAGCCTATCTTGAGCGAGGAGGTCAATGTGGCGAGTTGGATCAGAGCTTGCTATGATGAGCAGAATAGACGTACGACGGATCAGGCCTGCAAGGCAGTATCACGTTTTCAGGAGGAGGGGGTCCGGGGGGGTCGAGGGTACGGAGGGTGAAGTGGGCTGGGGGGTCAAGAAGGTTGTACCGCCCCGCAGCACCAGCCCCGTTGCTTTCCAGCATGCTGCCGAGCCTATCTTGAGCGAGGAGGTCAATGTGGCGAGTTGGATCAGAGCTTGCTATGATGAGCAGAATAGACGTACGACGGATCAGGCCTGCAAGGCAGTATCACGTTTTCAGGAGGAGGGGGTCCGGGGGGGTCGAGGGTACGGAGGGTGAAGTGGGCTAGGGGGTCAAGAAGGTTGTACCGCCCCGCAGCACCAGCCCCGTTGCTTTCCAGCATGCTGCCGAGCCTATCTTGAGCGAGGAGGTCAATGTGGCGAGTTGGATCAGAGCTTGCTATGATGAGCAGAATAGACGTACGACGGATCAGGCCTGCAAGGCAGTATCACGTTTTCAGGAGGAGGGGGTCCGGGGGGGTCGAGGGTACGGAGGGTGAAGTGGGCTGGGGGGTCAAGAAGGTTGTACCGCCCCGCAGCACCAGCCCCGTTGCTTTCCAGCATGCTGCCGAGCCTATCTTGAGCGAGGAGGTCAATGTGGCGAGTTGGATCAGAGCTTGCTATGATGAGCAGAATAGACGTACGACGGATCAGGCCTGCAAGGCAGTATCACGTTTTCAGGAGGAGGGGGTCCCGGGGGGTCGAGGGTACGGAGGGTGAAGTGGGCTGGGGGGTCAAGAAGGTTGTCGGGTTTGTGGTGAAGGTAGAGGGCAAAAATGCTGCCCAAAAGACTTAAATCAGGACAAAGGAAAACCCGACGAGTTTTTGTTGAGGAGGCTTTTGTAAGCCAGTTGCATTGCTTAAGCCGTGCAAAAAGCATCTTCAAAGCTTATGAATCTCAAAGCATATGAATCCTTTCCAAACCCATCGCGCGAGCATTGTGTTTGCAAACCGGGGGCGGCTGCGCCGCCCGACCCCCCACACGCATGCTTGCGTGGAAGCAAATGTTACCGTCGAAGTACATCGGGCGAGCATTGTGTTTGCGTCAAATGAACCTTTTCCGAACCGTTTCAAAGCATACAAATCCCTTCCAAACCCATGGGGCGAGAATTGTGTCTGCAAATAAGGGGGGGGGCATGCCGTATATCTGCAGCCGCACAAAGCTTGTGTCAAATTCATATGAATCCATCCAAACCGCTCCAAGCCCCAACCTATCCCAACCCCCTTGCTTTCTAGGCCGTGCCAGCTTGAGTCAAAGCATATGATTCCCTGATTCCCCCCCCCCCCCAAGCCCCCCTTTCTAAGCCGTGCAAGCTTGCTTCAAACGGCATATGAATCCCTCCAAACACATCATGCGAGCATTCTGTTTGCAAATGGTTGCGACCCCCCCCCACCCCCCCAAAGCCCCCCGCTGTTCTACTGAATCCCTACGCGTCGTTCGAGCATTCTCTGCGGCTTCCCCGCCTGCCCCCAACCTGCCGATTTTTTAAGCCGTGCAAGCTTGCGTCCAAGCATATGATTCCCTTCCACTTGTTTTGTCTCATGACTCATGCTGGTATTTACAGTGTTTGCAACCTCTGAAAATTCGGAATGCTGCTCGTTAATGTGGTCTCCTGATTAGTGTGGGCCCCCCCCCCCCCCCCAAACTAATTCCGCCCCCGCAACAGTAACAAAGAAAAAACGGACCCCCCCAAAAACTAATGTTCGGCCCCGGCCCCCCCCCCCCCCCGGCTCCTCTTCATTTCCTCTTGGCTCCTCTTCCCTCTCCTCTTCCTCTCCTCTTCCTCTCCTCTTCCTCGCCTCTTCCTCTCCTCTTCCTCTCCTCTTCCTCGCCTCTTCCTCTCCCTTTCCTCATCTTCTTCTTTTTTCTTTCTTCCGAAACCCATGCCCGAAAAACTTTTCATTATAGTGGGGGGGCAGCCGAATCTTTGTCCCCTGAAATATATTTTGAAAACTTTTCATTATTGACGGGGTCCACACTAATCAGGATACAACATTACAGTATTTGCAGCGTCTGAAAACTCAGAAATGCTGCTCTTTACAGTAGTATGTTTACAGTACTTCCTGCTTCTGCAAACTCAGACATGCTGCTAATTACAATGTTTGCAGCTTCTGAAACTGCATAAATGCTGCTATTTACGGTATGTGCAGCCTCTAAAAACGCAGAAACTAAGATGTACAGTATTTGCACCCTCTGAAAATGCAAAAATGCAGTTCTTTACAGTACTTGCAGCCTCTGCCGTTAGTGGAGGCGCTGTAAGGTTGCTGATTGACAATCAGTATAGCTTTGAGTGAAATGCATGTTGAGTTGACGTCCGCTGGGCTTTGGACCAGGAACCAACAACAGGAAAGCATGTGACTGCCAGAGCAACTATTGTCCGACAGCACAACTTGGCATGATGTAGATGGGTGAGCTTTTTCAATATGATACACTACATGTCTGCCAAGCAACTCGGGTTGGGACCCGAGGCGTTAAACGCGTTCATGCCGACGGTGCCAGTGCCCCTGAAGGCCAGCGTGTCCACCTGCTGGTGATGTTATGTGTCACTAGATGGCAGCCGTCATGAATGTGCAAGGCTCTTCGTGGGGCCTGGTGTTACACGGTCGAAGACCAGGCGTCTTGCGGCTCCTCAACAAACTGGGCATGTAATTGTAAACGCTTGCGCACACCGACTCCGCAGACGGGCTGAGGTTCTTAAAACTTTTCAAAGCGGGTCCCGACCAAACCAAAGGCCGAGTGGGCCCGCCAGGAAGGAGGGTCCCAGGGAAGGGTCATAGGAACGCAGTTTCTTGTTTTTGGGCGCCCCCCCTTTGTAGGAGCCACCAGCAGGCGGGACCCCCGCGGCATCGGTTTGCAGCTCCTCCAAGCGATCTGGGGGGACGCCCCAGTGCCGGGGGGGGGGGGAAAAAATTGGAAGGAATCCAAATCTGGTCTGCTTGTTCCAGACGCTTCTCGGTCGGAGGCCGAGGCGAATCAAGCTCGGGAACGCAGGCTCGCTTCATGGCAGAGAAGTATTTGAGACAGGAAGCGTGCGCAGATTGCGCAGATCGTAAGAATTGGCACTGCGGCTTGCAAGGAACCCACCAGCTCAGTAGCAGGTTAACACAACAATCCAACAAGGGACCGGCAACAAGTTGATGCGTCCTTTCGTTGCTCTCGATATATTAACGTTAGCCGTTGAGTCGTTTTAGTGCCGAAAAGAAATCAACCTGCCTACCAGGCAAGCAAAGCCATTGCTGGGCCCTTCCGGGACAAGCCGATGTGACAGTTTTGTTGTTTCAATGGGCTGAGCCCTCGGACCGCCGTTCTGCTCCTCCAGAGGAACCTGTGCTTTGCTTGCGCGGAGCTTGCTGCATTCCCAAGGCCAAAAAGCCAAAAACAATACGGATGCCCGAAGCGAAGGCGAACAAAGGAACCATGCCTTTCACTGACGTTCTCGAAGCAGGGAGTTTAAAGAAGATGCCGCGATTGGCAAGACCAGTTGAACCAAGCGACTCCAAGCTTCAACAATCTGCTCTGCCTCGCTCTTTCTGCCTCGCGAAAGAGCACGCAGAGTCAAAGTGGGTTGCCAGTTTTGGAATACCATGAGTTTTGAAACAGCTCGGAATGTGTTGAGATCGAATGACGCCAAAACATCGCAGATTCTTTTCAATCACCTTGATGGTGGACTTCGTGGACTACGCGAAGCAATTCTTGATCACGCGAGCGGAGACCAACCGCCCGTTCATTGAGGCAGGTGCTTCAACATTCGTATGAAGCAGCTCAGGTCCATGTGAAGCATACCTACATAAGTCAACAGTTGCGCCAGGCACCTTGATATCTAGGCAGGAAGTAGGTTAGCGCCAACGAGTTGTTACTGCTTTGAGAGCTTTACGGAAGAGTGTTAAAGGGTCTTGACCATGTCAGGATAAGCTCCCGCTAGCACAGGTTGTTGCTTCCTTGCTTGCAGGCGGTCGGCCTCACGTTGAACGATTTCAGAAAATGGTATTGGCCTGGAGGTGAGAAACTGGTGCGCTCCTTATGTGCGTATTTGCTATGAGAACAGTGACGTGCCACGCATAGCGCCCTTTGCTTTGACATCGCTGTCAGATTCCTGGTGAAAGCTGTGCGATGAAAAAGGCCCCGTGTCTCCTCATGGCCCCGTCATCAGCATCAGTTGCCCCGGTAGGCTAGACTGGAATCTCCTGCCTGTGACCCAGTCAGACAGAACTGAATGACGTTTGCCGTGAAATCCACAGCAGCTGAGGTGCTTCCTGCAGCACGAGAAGCGGAGCGGATGTTCGCTGCCGAGGTTGAGGCTTCTGCGGGTTACGTAGGCAGCATTGTCTTGAACAGCCCGTTCAATGCAGCGTGTAGAAGCTCTCTGCATTCGCGCTGGCTTCGTGCCGGACTCTCAACGTAAAGCAAACCATTGCGAGTCTTCGGTGGCAAAGCTAGGCTTGGTCATTGCTGGCATGCCTGACATGCGGGCACCATCGCGAAACACATGCGAGCACAAAGCGAGGAGGTCGCGAAGGAAGCTCTCGGGACAGCTACATGAGTTTGAGTTTGTCGCGAACTTGAACAGCATCGAGCAAGTTGTCTCGTCAACTGATGTCTAGAATGTGGCTCGTGGCACGTGGCTCAACTATGGTGTGATCGAGCTGGTCTGTGTAAGTACAAAGTGGCTTGTGAACCTGTCGACGGTTTCAATGCGCGAAACTTAACCGCTCGGTGACAAGTCTCACGAAAGCGCCATCAACGGAGCGCCTCAAGCATGACCGTAGCAAGGCAGCCATGAAGAAGATTGCCAAAATCAAGCGTTTGTCCAAGCACGGGCCCAGAATGATAATGAGAGACAGTATGCCATGGCTGAAAATCATACCCGAAAGTGAAGCATCCCGCATGAATAACTTCCGGGATTCCTCAACACTTTGGGTCTGTGGGAGAAGCGGATCCAATGTCACCGCCGGGACATAGTTCGTGTATATGCGGTACCCGGTGCATGCCACATGGGAGGCAAGGGCGAACGTGGTTAGAGAGAGACACCCTCAAGAAGTCTGGCCGGCGTGCTTGGCAAAACTGCGGAAACGAACATGCTTGTCGTTGTTTGTTCTTGTTCGCTATTGCTTGCTGTTGTTTGCTGTTGCTTGTTATTGTTTGTTGGCCAGGTCGAGTTTTTTCATCGCCGCATGGCCGATGCGCATCGCCGCGTGGCCGATGCGGAAAGATGCTGTGCTGAGGTCTTGGAGCAGCAGAGCGCAGAAGGGCACAAATTAAAGGAGGAGTGGCAAAAGATAACTGCGGCAAGGCAGAAGCTTAAGGAGCAGGCTGCTTCCTCAAGAAATCTTTGCCTCGTGTGCTTCCAGCTCGCGGACTGGTCCACAATCCCCTGCGGCCACGCCTGCTACTGCAACACACACGGGCCGGTGGCCAAAGCGCTTGAAGACCGTTGCCCTGTGTGCAAAGGCGACATCACGGATGGACTGAAGATTTTCTTGGGCGGTTTCCATCCGTGAGGGATATGCACCACGGTGCATCGCATCACGGTGCATCGCACCACGGCCTGTGCAGCTCTCCATCCGCCAAATTTTTTCCGGCGTTCCATATTTTTGTACGCAAGTCCACAATCAAAGAAGCTTCTTCTTTCATTTATACCTTGTTGCAGCCTCAAGAGTTGAAACCTGAAATGTGCATAAACAAACCCTTTGCGGCCTGAATTGCGGGATGGAGAGGTCCACGCAGCAATCTCGCAGCCCGAGCGGCAGCAATTGCAGTTCCGCTGCTGATTTTGTTGCGGTGCGTTGTTCCCGTTTAGAGCCATGGCCCTGTCGCAGTTCAACTCGTCCCTTCAGAGACTTGCGTTGCCATGGTCAAAAAAGTTTCGAATGAGACCAAGCATGAGATTGCATCCCAACGAAGCCTTGAGAGACCTGAACGTCACCACGCAGCTGCGGTCATGTACTTGAAACATGGGTCTGCAACATGCGCTCCACTTTGCCCCTCTCCAACAAAGCGAACCTTGTTTGCCAATCGTTTGACATTTGTCATAGCAGCAGCAGTACTTAGGTGGCATTGGAATGCAGCTGGGTCTCGGAATCTGAGTCGTTTTTTGGATGCACAGCTGGTGAGCAGTGAGTGAGGAACATGACGTCCTGTAGCATGTCCTAAGTCTCGGCTAGAAGGGTCCGAACCTTAAACCCCTAAATTGCCTAAACCCTAAACACCGTAAACCCTAAACTACTGCCACACGCACGGCCTGGTGGCTAAAGGCTAATGCGCTGGAAGACCGTTGCCCCGTGTGAAGATGTGACATCACGGATGATGTTCTGTGGGGTTTCCATCCGTGAAAGATGTCTACCACGGTGCATCGCACCACAGCCTTTAGAGCTCTCCGTTCCCCCAAGTTCTCGATATGCGGCTCTTCCCGAAGTCCCGAAGCGTTGCAAGCATTCGTGCTGTGTGGGCTGCGACGCAGATCTTTGCTCCTTGGGATGGTTTGATGCTTGTGATGCTTGTGACGCTTGTGACGCTTGTGACGCTTGTGATGCACCGCGCCACGGCCTTTAGAGCTGATGCAAACTTCGTTGGCTCAGCGGGCTTTAGGCTTGGGGCACCCTGATCTTGGCTATCCAGAAACCAAACCTGAACCCAATTGAGCCCATCATCTGAACCTGAAACCGCCAGCCCTACAATCCCAAGCCCCTAAGCCCCTAAAACTCAGTGGACCTCTGTGTGGTGCGACGCACCGAGCTTCGTGTTCTTTCCGCAAAAACTGGAAGCGTCGCAGAACCTCACGCTCCTGTCTTTCAATAAGAACTCCAGAGTGGTCTTTGCGACAGCAACATAAAGAGAAGAAAAAAGAGAACAACTGTCCAACTCCACGGCCTTCAACGCTTGGAGGTTGTGTGAAAGTTGTGTGTCCAGGGCTTTCACACTTTTCCTGCCTGTCGAAGCCCACCGAAAAGCCTGAATCATTGCTTTAATGTTTGTTATTTCCGTCCCAGATTCGATAGAGACACGAAGGTCACAGCTGTCAACAGGTAGGAGAACTTAGCGAGTCGAAGATTTTGCCTTGCAAAGGTCCTTAAGCAACCCTCTGAAGTGCCCAAGCCCTTAACCCTTGCGAGAAGGCACAACACCCCCCCCCAAGCGCGACCATGAAGCCCTAAACCTGCAACCCTAACCCTAACCCTAAACCCCAAATCCCTAAACCCTGTGAACCCGAAACCCTAAACCCTAAACCCTAAACGCTAGGTGTCCTTCGGGGAGTCCAGCTGGGGATTCTACCAGGCTATTCTTACTTTTCTTTGTGTATCTTTTCATTATTCTATTTATGTAAAGATCCCAAATGCCTCCGGTGGGGAAGCCTCCCGTTCCAAAGTGTCGGATAGTGCAACCTCGTGATCCCAGCGCAGATCAACCAAGATTCCTCGTTCTAAGTGGTCCGTTTTCACATACTTGCGCTTCCGCGCCCCGCGCGTAAGCGCAAGTCCACCAAGATTCCTCGTTCTAAACGGTCCGTTTTCACCTACGTGGCCGTGCGGAAGCGCAAGTCCACCAAGAGTCCTCGTTCTAAATGGTCCGTTTTCACCTACTTGTGCTTCCGCGCGCTGCGCGTAAGCGCAAGTCAACCAAAATTCCTCACTGTAAAGAGTCTGTTTTCAGCCACTTGCCAAATCCTGAATCCGTACTCCAAAGCTCACTTGTGCTACCGCGCGCGGCGCAGAAACGCAAGTGACCACATCCATGGCGCAAGTACAGGTTGCCATAGCGCACACTTGTGCTATGGATGGGGTCACTTGTGCTACCGCGCGCGGCGCGGAAGCGCAAGTCGGATTTGGAGTACGGGAAATCCCATGCACTGTTGCACTGCTTGTCATAAACCACCCCCCACCCCCTCCCCCCCCGACCCTCTTTAAAGAAATTAGAAGCACCCCAATCTAGGGGGAGCCATCCTCAAGCCTCAGACCCTTGAGGCCCACAGTGGCCATTCTGCTGTTGCCACAAGCTATTTCCACTTTTCGGTCCAGGAAAAATTGATTTGGCTTGTCGTCTTGACATAGTTCTAGTTCTGGAGTGTTGTTCTTGAGTGTTCAGAGCTCAGCAGCATGATCAGTACTTCCGTGTGAACTCTGCTGTATTGCTGAGAGACCATGCTTTCACCCCTGGAAAACCACAGTGACCATTTTGCTTTTGCCACAAGCTATTTCTACTTTTCGGTCCAGAAAAAGTTGATTTGGCTTGTCGTTTTGATGTAGTTCTACTTCTGGAGTGTTGTTCTTGAGTGTTCAGAGCTCAGCAACTCTTGCTGTGTTGCTTACTGAGTAACTGTCAAGGCTATGCGTTTTCGAAAGGCCGTATGATACCCAGACGGTAGTTCAACTTTGGACTGACAGAGAAGTGGAATAACCTTATCAAAACCACTAAGACAACGTCCAACACCACAAAATTTTTTGTTTTCCATGTGCCACCATCTTGACCCCCCCCTTGCCTGCACCACATGTGGTTTAAACTGTGATTTGCATAATCACCTTATGTGTGGTTTCCCATGGTTTCCCAATTTGGAACGGGAGGCTTCCCCACCGGAGGCATTTGGGATCTCTATTTAATGGCTACCGCAAGTGCCGCCGACCCCTCAACCTGATGCTCCGCGCAAACCGGACAAGAACAAGGATGGCAGGCCATCTTTCGACGAATTCGCAGAGGCAGGAGGAGAGTGAGCGGTCTACGGTTTAGGGTTTAGGGTTTCGGGTTTAGGGCCTAGGGTTTAGGGTTTAGTCAGCTTATCGAAGAAAGGCGTGGGGCCAAGGGGATGGAGCCATGGGGCCATGGGGCCATGGGGCCATGAGCCATGGGGGAAGGGCCCTTTAAAGTCAGCACAAAGCCAGCTCATAGAAGAGAGGGGCATGGGGCGGGCGGGAAGGGCGGGAAGGGCGGGAAGGGCGGGAAGGGCGGAGGGGGCGGGCATGGACTGGGGCCTTTTAATGTCAGCTTATAGAAGAGAGGGGCATGGGGCCAGGAGGCATGAAGCCACGGGACCATGAGGCCATGGGGCCATGAGCCATGGCGGGGCGGGAAGGGCGGGAAGGGCACAAAGCCAGCTAAAAAAGAGAGGAGCATGGGGCCAGGAGTGGGCCAGGGGGCATGGAGCCATGGGACCATGGGGCTATGGGGCCATGAGCCATGGGCGGGAAAGGCGGGAAGGGCGGAGGGGGCAAGCATGCACTGGGGCCAAGGGCGGGGAGGGGGCGCATGCACTGAGCCCACAAATTCAGCAAACCGAAGAAAGGGGTAGGGGCCAGGGGGGCATGGAGCCATGGGACCATAGGGCCATGGCGCCATGAGCCACGGGCGGGAATAAGCGGGAAGGGCGGGAAGGGCGGAGGGCCAAAACATGGAGCCATGGAGCCATGGGCCCATGGTCATGGCAGTGGAGCCCTCGAAGAGAGGGGCATGGGGCCATGGGGCCGGGCCATGTGCCATGGTGGGGAGCCATGGGGCCATGGGGCCAGTGGAGCCATGGGACCATGGGGCTCTAAAGTTAACTGCTTGGGGAAGAGAGGGGCATGAGGCCAGGGGGCATGGAGTCATGGGACCATGGGGCCATGGTGCCATGAGCCATAAGTCAGCACAAAGCCAGCTCATAGAAGAGAAGGGCATGGAATGGAGCCATGGGACCATGGGGCTATGGGGCCCTGAAGGGCGGAGGGGGCAAGCATGCGCTGGGGCCCTTTTTTGGGACCATGAGGCGGAGCGTGGAGCCATGGGACCATAGGGCCATTGGGCCATGAGCCATGGCGGGCGGAACGGTCGGAAAGGGCAGGAAGGGCGGGAAGGGCCCTTTACAGTCAGCACGAAGCCAGCTGAGTGGGCCAGGGGGCATGGAGCCATGGGACCACGGGGCTATGGGGCCATGAGCCATGGGCGGGAAGGGCGGCCCAGTGCCCTTTAAAGTCAGCTTATCGAAGAAAGGCGTGGGGCCAGGGGGATGGAGCCAGGCCATGGGGCCATGAGCCATGGGGGAAGGGCCCTTTGAAGAGAGGGGTGTGGGGTCAGGGGGCTAGAGCCATGGCCATGGGGCCAAGGGGATGGAGTCATGGGGTCATGGGACCATGAGCCATGCCCTTTAAAGTCAGCACAAAGCCAGCTCATAGAAAAAGAGGCATGGGGCCAAAAGCTAGAGCCATCGGACCATGGGGCCATGGGGCCATGAGCCATGGCAGGAGGCGAACGGGCGGGAAAAGCGGAGGGGGCGGGCATGCACTGGGCCCTTTTATGGGACCATGGGGCCATGGGGCCATGAGCCACGGCGGGCGGGAAGGGTGGGAAGGGCGGGAAGGGCGGGAAGGGCGGAGGAGACGGGCATGGACTGGGGCCCTTGAAAACTCAGCTAAAAGAAGAGAGGGGCATGGAGCCAGGAGGCATGAAGCCACGGGACCATGAGGCCATGGGGCCATGAGCCATGGCGGGGCGGGAAGGGCATGGGGCCAGGAGTGGGCCAGGGGGCATGGAGCCA